TATGGATGAACATCTAACAGTGGCATAGTACATCTCTGGCTGCAACAGAGCCACCGAACAGCAAGAGCCTCTGTGAACCACAGTCAACAGTACCAGAGGCAAAGCAAGCACTGCTCACTTTACGGCTTTTCACTCTCATGTTACAAGCTGTGGGTCACTGACAAGCACTGAAATGAAACTGGCTCCCAAGGACAGGGACCTACAGCTGGGCTTAGCCACGTGTGCTAGCAGGCTCGGAACTGCTTCTGGGTCACGTACAGCTGGGCTTAGCCATGTGTGCTAGCAGGCTCGGAACTGCTTCTGGGTGCTTGCACGAGCAGGTAGGTACAACCGTGTATATGCACGTTTCCAATCACTGTGCATGCACCAGCCATGCCAACTTCTGACAAATTCACAAGCTGGCCCTCAGAAATAATCTGTATTAGCCCTAAGTCTAGAAGAAGAAATGCAAAGTGTTTCACAGAGTTGGAGCACTCTGATATTCAGGTAGGTGATGCAGGTACGTGCAAACGTATATGCACGTTTCCAATCACTGTGCATGCACCAGCCATGCAAACTTCTGACAAATTCACAAGCTGGCCCTCAGAAATAATCTGTATTAGCCCTAAGTCTAGAAGAAGAAATGCAAAGTGTTTCACAGAGTTGGAGCACTCTGATATTGCACACTCTGGATCTTCTCAACCTTAAACTCCCTGGGATGTTTCTCTTTTTAAGCACTGAGAGGCTTTGTCTGGGATATTCCAGGCTCTCCCCGGAGTGAGGCGTTCCCATTCCACGGGCCTCCTGATGCAGAGCCCCACACACGGCACTGCAAGCACACCCCAGCCCAAAGGGAATTCTGCACTGCACCTTTCTGAACTCAGCTGCAGTCAGGACTGCCTACAAAGGACTTTGTACAGTTAGGTCACATTATTGGTGCTAATCTCAAACACTTAAAGCGATGGATTACATCATCCAAAAATACAAAATTGGTCTTAGAACTTGGCTTTAAGGCACAGCTGAGGGTTTTTTTTTTACCTACCTCTGACTTCTGCACTTAAAGCAGGCTTTTGAACTTCTCTTTGCAAGCATGTTGATGAAGGACAACTTCAAACAAGGTCAAAATGTGCAAAGATTCAGTGATCTTCAGAAGCTTGGTTTTATCAGAGCACTGGCATCACTAGACACGGGAATTAAATCCTTAAAGCCAGAAACACTATTGTACCTTTCAGAGTCTGAATCCTAATGCCAGTGTAATTCCCTGACTGGGGTGGAAGATGTCAACCTGGGTAGCAGTTCTCCCATTCCCTTCCTTTCATACAGAACTATCCCTACATTAGTCAATTCAGTTAGGTATGATCCTACAAGTTCTGTATGTTCCAGACCACAAAGTTAAGCACTACCAGAAGAGGCTGCTTTAAAGACATGCAGAAAGTGTCCTCTATACGAACAAGATCCATGAGACTTGTGTTTATCCCTCGAAAAGTGGATACTGCATAAATAAATCAAGACAGTAGAAGGAACAAATTGGATCCCCAGGCCTCTTCTGAAGGTAATGTGGGATCCTACAAATGATTCAGTTGGTTACAGGCCTTTGTGCTGTATAAACCAGAAATTGGTGCAAATATTTCCCTTTGCCCCAGGTAATGATGTAGGTGGGAAATAAAACTCCTTGTACTGTCTGATTTCAAGTGGTTCAGTAGGGCAGGACGAGAGGTGAATGGAGGATGGTTATTCTAGGTAAAGGGACTGGGGTGGGCAGTAAGAATTGCTTCACTGGTGAAGTCCTCACCATTCCTTGTGTAATTAGCCACTTGTCTATGGGCTCCATGTCTGAGTTCCCACCTTTACCTCTCCTCTGTGTTGAGAACAGAAAGGTCCATAAAGAGAGAAACCACAGCAACAACCCATGATAAAGTAATATAACAGCAGCAAGTTAAAAACTTCACATACACACACATACACACAGAGTTGCCTGTGGTAGCTTCTGGCAGCAGCTGCATCCCCTCTGCTGCCTGTCAGCTCTGTCTGTGGAGGGACAGACCTCACCCCGACCTCTGCACTTCCTACAGACAGTTCACAGAATTTTAGCACTTCCTCCATGCTGATATTAAAAAAAATAAAAATAAAATAATCATTGACTAGTAGTGAGGCTGTTGTTTATCATCTTCTTAGAAGAAAAAGTATAGGCTATACAATGCAATAAAATCAGTCAGACTTTACTGGAAACACTAGTATTACGCACCGTGGAGTTTCCCTTGTTTATAAAACTGTTAGTTGCAGCACACCCCACTTACCTCCTTGATCTCAGCAGACAGACTCTGCCTTAAACTCTAACAGTACGACAGCTCTAACGATAAGGTTGAGCAGGAGGGTAAGTAATCACAGTTTGCTGCAGTGTTCTGGCAGTCTTTCAAACTGCCCCTCTCTAAGAGCGGCAGAGGTTAAAAGGACCGCTGATGCATCCAGTTCCCTCTGTGCAGGCTGCAGACTAAATGGCACAGCAATGCAAAGACTCTCAAGATGGCTTCTGGCCCTTCAGCAGCTCATCCCTGAGCCAGGGCCCGGATGCAGAGTAATCTCTAGCTCTGGAGAAGCTTGCTCGGGACGGGCAGAGCAGAGTGGTTCCAGCCAGAACTGGGTTAGCTCAGCAGAGAACAACTGGCATGTTTATGTTCCTCCACTCAGATACCCACATACGTGGGATACCTCTCCTGTCCCCATTACCACAGATAATTGAGAATCAGCTGTAATCTTTTATGTCTCATTTCAGTATTTGTGTTGAGAAAAAAAAGGGGAAATCACTCCAACTTCATCTACTGTCTGTGTAACACTAGAGAATTGTTTCTTGGACACCTCTCCTCCCAGTTGTGATCATGCAACAACTCTGTGGCAACAAAAGCAATTCCCAACATGGAAAAGCAATATTAAGAAAACAGTATATTTTTAGCTCATCTTGTTTCCAGCTGCTAAATCATATTAAAAGACAGCTAATGCCACGTGACCAGCCATCTCTCTACAGACCATTCTGAGAATGACTACATTAGAAACGTCGGATGTGCTGAATTTTACCACTGGACAACTGTGCTGGAACAAGACGTGTGTGAAGAATGTGTTGCGAAGCTTTTGGCTCCTCCCTAGAGCTGTTCTTAAATTAGCTCTCTACCCAAATTAACGCATGTCTTTCATTTACTGAGCACTGCCAGTTTTTTCCTACACATGCTAGGGCTGGTAACTTTAGTAGAGTTTAATTTTTATTTCCTTTAAGAAGAGACACCCAGAAGCCTCACAACACTTGACAAAAAGTAGTGTTTACCAATTACCAAAAGACTGCATTTCAAAACAAGCTATTCTGATTATATGATACAGTCATCAGAACCTTTGAAAACAGGCTGAAAGTCTCTACAACATCTCAGAGCCCAAAGTTCCACAACCCATAAAGCGTTTGCCCCCAAAATTTTGACTGTCAGATTAGCTTAGACACAGCCCTTTGAACTGACAACACATCGGACAGAGCACAAGCTACGCTGGTGTGAATGACACGTCGCATTGGTGCCTCAAGCAGAATTGGCTGAGAACAAGTGTTAATAAATAAGGACATGACCCCATGGCCACATGGAGAATACAGCCCCCTTGACCAGTAGCTAAATGCAAGCCACTTGTGTTTGGTTAGCCAGGAACAAAGAGCAGAATCTCAAATCCTTTCCCAGGTCCTGCCAATAACACAGGTCAGTGATACTGGGGGCTTGGGCTGTCACACTGGCTTCAGGAATTCCTCCCTCACCCCCTAATGCAGTTCTGCCCTGTCTCCCTGTGCTTCCCCCTTTTCCCTCAGTACTGTTGGCAAGAGTTTTTTGTGAGGCTGAGCTTGAAACTGGTCAGAGGGATGACCTGGGTTATAATTTCCCCTTTTTGCAGGAGGACAGGGACAAGAACAAGCAGATAGATTTGTGGGGTGGGGGGATGCTCCATAGGAAATCATTGCTGAAGCCCTGCTACCACTGAACTGTGGCCCAGGCAGGCAGGCAGCTGTGATTTGACCCCAGCTGGCTCCAAACGCAAATTCTCCCTGGCTCAAAGCACAAGCTGCCAGGCATGCCAGCTGCCCTGAACACTCCCATTTCAACTTATGAAAGAACCAGGGCGGGATCAGCCAAGGCATGGGGAGGCAATTCTCCACGGAGGGAGGCGTGTGCATGCTGCACTGGCTCTCCCATGCTACACTGGCTCTGCCATGCTCCCTAGTGGTCAGCACAGACCAAAATTAGACCTAGGAAAGGGCTCTGAACTTGCTCTGTCATCTAAAAAACTTGCACACAGCTGAGTACAAAAGAGCAGGGCAGTTTTAAAAAGCAGGGTGGTAGAAAGGGGTCGAGGGATGATCTGAAAGCTCTTTTCACTTCTGCCTTCACCAAGGTAGGCCGACAAAGCTGGCCAAGCTCACTCTCTCAAACACGTTTCTCGCATCAGCTGCTGTGAGGTGACAGCACGTGGGCCTCTTCTGCCCACACAAGATAGCAGGACCCTGCCCTGGGACATACAGAACAGACTGCATGCAAGGGCAGTTAGAGCAAGGCATGTGAAGCATTAAAAGTCTCCATAATTTGGCTCACTGTAACTTGCTCGTGTATCCATGCACTTACAGCAAAGTCTAAGAGATTAAGACTACAAGTTTCATAACCGAAACCAAACCAAACAAATGCACACCAGTGTTCACAGGATGTTCCCTACTTATTCTTTTCAGCAGTGATTCCAGTCAAAGTGCTGGACCCCCCAGGCAAGCTGCAAGAACACAGGAGAAATTACCCACTATGATTTTGAAGTCTTTTAGGCTGGTGTGCTAAGTAGCAGCTCTTTAGAGATCATTACTGAGCAAGTACTTGCTCCTAGATATCCATTTCAAAATAGCCAGTACTAGCATGTCACTGGAATACAGAATGAGAAGTCTTGGTCAAAGCATCTGCCTACAGCTTGGATTCCACACACGGCTTCAGATAACAAAACGCAGAGCAACAACCTACCCCTCCTGTGTTCTGTTTTCGAACATCCAGGGCAGACGCTAGTCCTTTGACAGCCTGTGGATCCTCATACGTCACACTGAAAGACAGGAACAAACCACAGAACTAGAAGAAAGTCCAGCAGTCACCCATGCAGAACACACTTGCTACTCTGATTTACTCCCCTGGAAATCAGAAAGCACACTCCTTTTCTTAACAAGACTTCAAGTGTACTAAGTGCATTCCAAGAAGAGGAATGTGCTCTGTATAAAGACTATCCATCAGTTTCAGTAAGCATGTTGAAGTAAAAAGAGTAAGACTGGCATTATGAAAGGTAGGCAAATAGATTATGTGGCACCATAAGTGTGTCCAAGAGCTAGCAGGGGACTATGAAAAGAGGCCTGATTACAGATTATGTTTTGCAAAGCTTTGAAGATGACATTTGGAAGCCTGAACTTGACGCATGCATGGGGGAAGACAGAGACTCGAGACTCAAAGCCAGATGAAACGCAACTATAGTGAAGGACACAAAGCAGTGCACCATTTACAGAGGTTGGATTTTTAAAAAGCTTCTTAAATTGCTATGCAAAAAGGACATGTAGCAGTCAGGTAACAGAGGCAATAGCATCAGTTCTCAGAGCGGAGTGGTGAACCTTGAGCTGAAGCAGACGCCAACACCTGCCCATAAATCAGCCCCTGGGAGGAGCCGCATGTCTGCGCAGGAGCTCTTTCCCCTCCAGTGTGCTGGCTTCTCCCAGGTGCTAAGCACAGCATCCAGAGGCTCTCACCCACACACCACTGCAAGTCACACTCACATCTTTACTGCTGCTCCATTTATACAGTCTACAATCCAAGGAAGATATAGCAATCCTCCCTTGTGAAATCATGGACCAATGTGTGCTCCTTGTTCCATTAGCTCACAGAAGAAGATAGAGGTGCAGTGTGGGAAGACTAGTTTCACACTTCATTTAGCACAAGAGACAGAGGGACCTCCATTAGATCTCCCTGCAATGCATCTCCTTCTGACTATACATTAGGGCTCTCAGCCTGAAATCTCCAGTGGTAATGTACGCCTCTACAGTAGAGCACATCTTCTCAACATTGATACTACAGCTGAGGCAGTACCAATAGCTACACTGATGACTGCAAATAAAAGATCATAATAAATTCGCTGCCTCAAGTCCTCCAGAGCTGGTAAATTTTTGATAATCTGTTAAGGTCTGAGCTAAACTATTTAACAACATTTCTTAGTTTGAGACAAGATATTGATGATGTTCTGACTGCTGGTAGCCACTACATCCTCTAGAACGTGAATCCAGAAGGAGGCAAGAAATAATATATAGAAGAAAAATTACCTGAGTGTGTCTTTTACTGAATCTCACTTGACAGGGATCAAAAGATTTCTTAATAATTGCATAGATTTATTTTACATTAAAATAATTGGACCTGTTAAATGCCCTTTAAAGTGCCAGATTTGCAGCTCTAAAGAGGCAAGCCCTATGCATATAAACAAATTAGGGATAGCATGGCAGCTGGGCAAGCTACACTGCCTTGACAGCCTGTGAGAGTTTGACTGCTGGGCCAAAGGAAGAGTTTAACTCGATGGTAATTCTGTTTCCAAGCCCTTGATGACAGTAATTCAGTCACCAAAGTATATCCATCACCTTCAGGTGAAGGACCCTTATGCTCCTGTATCTCATGCACTGGTCAGGTGAACGGGATGAGAAGCCGTTACAAGGGGAAGCAACTGCAGAAGTAAAGGCAAGTTCATTTCCAAGTTTCCAGAGACCTCATTAACTAAGACAGTCAAATGAAATTACTCAGCCAATCTGCTCTGCCCAGCAGCAGGAACTTCTCCACTTGCTCATACTAATAATGACCAACAGGATAGGGATTGGATTAAAAGCACAAAAACATACATCAAAACTACTTTTTTTAGTCTGGAATGAAGTCAAGAAGTTTCAGATTTATGCCCTTTGAAAACAGCAGTGCCGTGACTCAAACAGCGCTAAAGACAAACGCCAACATACTTCTTTCGCTGCTCAGCCAAGGAACTGCCTCTTGTCTGTGCAAACATGTCGAAGTCATCACGAGGATTACAGTGTTGTAGAGAGCTGAGTGTGCCACTGACGCTGTTTGTACCCAAGTCTGCAACCAGAGGCAAAAAAAGCAAATCAATTGCTAACCATATGCAAGCACCACTGCTTTGACTATGTAGGTTACGGAGGAAGTCATTAACAATGCAGGACATCTGCAGATATCATCTAATTAACAGTTGTAGCACTGAGCACAATTCTGTTCAGAAGAGGCTGGAGGCTGCTAATCATGCATTTCTTAAAGGACAAATGTAGAGATAGCCTTATTCCTCCTGGAAGCACCACACCATAAGTATTCCTCATCGAGAAGCCAGCATTTGGGAACTGGTGTGCACCTGCTGCCAATCTCATCCTGAGATATTTACTATTCGCTAACTTGGCCCAAAATTTTGGACATGGATACTAGCCTTCTCCACAATGTTGTCGCTCAACTATTGATTTGAAACTGTTGGTTTTACAGTCAAGTGATATGATATTGGTGCAGAGCTGAAAGAGGTGGAGAACCTTCAGTCAAATCAAGTGATCCTATCAAGCAATCTTTGGTTTGATTTAATGGAAACCACCTAACAATTTCATAAAACCTTTCATCCAAAGATTTAAAATATTATTTGTAGAAGGGGAATCAAGAACATCGACCAGACTGATTTCATGGAGTGTTATACCTAAGCAGAAATAAAAGTAGTTGCACAAGTTTTACCATGAACGAGAACCTGCATCCTTTTCTTCACTCTCCCCTTTGGTCTACAAATCCCTCCTTCACTGCCAGCCTGGTTCCCAATTACAGATTGCTACAGTGCAGGGGAGTGGGAAAGCCTTCTTAATCTTGTAAGCCACGTACCCAAACCTTCCGAAGGGTACATGGCAACATTAATCAGGCAGTGGAGAGCCAAAGGGAGCAGAAACTCCCTGACCCACAAGTGAAAAACGGGTCCTCATAAATCCCAACAGCCCACTGCATTAAGAGTTTGTACTAGGTATTCAGGTTGGTCACAGGGACCTCAGCAACCACTCAGACTTGCTCCCACAATCAGATACCTGGATTGCCTAGCAGCCCCTGCATGCTGTTCAAGACCCACAGACTGGTCAGGCTTGAAAAAGTCCATGCATTGCAGCCTCATGTTCATCAGCACTGTTTAGATCAGGTACTCACCAAGCCCTGCAAGCTGTGAAGAAAGTGAAGACGGGGGTGCTGAGTTTCCGACCATTGGGCTCACTACAGCTGGAGAGCCAGGACCCAAATCTATTAAGTTATCTTCTGTCACCTCATTCAGTACCTGTTGGGACACAAAACCCACAACAAGTTACATATGCCAGAGATTTGTTCTTGCAGGGCAACACTGAACACCAAACAATAATGGGCGCTTCCTCAAAAGATCTCTCTTGCATACTGCCAAATGGACCAGACTCTTGGATACTTTGGTGATGAGTACACAATAAAAAGGGTCAGCCACCAAAAAACCTCATGAACTCAGATCTTGAACACTATAAACCAACTACAAAATATTTGTCATGGAAAGAATAATTAGAACTGTAAATCTTCAGCTTGGAAAGGGGCTGCTAAAAAAGGAGATGAGAGAGGTTCCTAAAGTTACGAGTGGCATGAAGAAAATGAATCTGAATAGACGTATTGTAAGACACAGTGAAGAAGAATTAGGTGGATCAAATAAAAATCATTGACTTGTTCAAATGTAAACAAAATATTTATTACATATACATACTCACATAAATATGTAAAAACGTGTAGTGAAACCATGGAACTCACTGCTTAAGGACATTGTGAATGCCAAAGTCTGCATGGACTCAAAAGCAATCAAAAAAGTTAATAGAGGAAAGAAAATCCACCAGGGATTGTAAACACAGAGATGTTTTAGTGTAGTGTCTTTCTGAGCTAAAAGTTGACACTTGAGGTTTGCCACATTCTTATGGTCTCTTCTTGGTCTCCACTGTTAGCCACTACAGGTGGGACATGGGGCTGGACAGATTAAAAAGTCTGACAGTAGTGATATCAGCATGGCGAGTAAGGTGTAGGTGCTGATACAATAAATGGAGGTGGGTACTTACTCCATTGCTGGCATTTTGTGTTGAACGTCCCGATCTGTATCGTTCAAATCTGTTTAGAAAAAAAACAAAACAAACAAAACCAACATGGACTATCAAAGCCAACAATAAACAATGAAAGACACAAGTTTATAACAAAGTCATGACATGCTTGCCACTGAACTTAGTGTTTGTTGGCTCAAGGGGGAACCCTGAAAGCTTTAACTCCAAGCCAGGACAAAGGGAGGATAGTGACAGAAGTTGCATTCTTGGCAAATCTGGATATTGACTAATCTGATCTTGCAGAATATACATGCCTGAAAAACACCGTAGGATTTATCTTTGGGTTTGGTTTTTTTCATTAAGTGCTTTGTGATAGACTATTCCGTGAGCCAAGGGACAGGCGGAACTGCAGCAAGATTGATGCTCCCAGCTAAATAAGCTGAGCACCGCAGCAAGTCTTACTCCCCCTTAACAGCTCCCTCTTGCCGCAATACATGTAAATTAGAAGCCATATGCATGCTAGCACAGCCCTACCCAGGCAGCGCATGGCAAGAGAAACAATGATTAGGAGATTCATTTCTTAAAACATTCTGGGTCAGCTCAAAGATTGTGAGAGCCTATGTTTAAGTAGGTTGGTACTTTCCAAGAATGAAAAGTAATAATGTTGGATAAAAATCCTCATACTTCTTAGGGAAAGAAGTTGGGCTAGTCAGATCTGGTCTTTTCTCTACTCCTTCCCCAACCAGCTGTGCATCTGGGGCTGCAAACCTAAACCCAGCTTTCATGAACTCAGAAAAGCAGGAGGAACTACCTCCTCCCAAGGCCTGTCTGAGGCCAGTCTGATCTACTTCCTTACCAGAAAAAGCATCATGATTTCTCTGAGGTTAGAGTTTTTCCTCATTTAAAAGCAGTTTCACATGTAACCTCTCTTTTCAGTAAAAACCCCATAATATTCATAGAATCCTGTGGGTTTTCTCCCAGATGGACAAAATACAACAGGGAATCTCAAGCAAACTAAAATGTTTTTTCTTAATGTTACAGAGGAAAATGCAGACTTAAAAGGCAGCAAAACCAAATTCAGCCCCAAATTTCAATTTTAGGAAACTGTGGGTGTCTACTATTACTGGAAATCCAGCTCCCTTAGCTGGAAACCTAAGACACCTCTCACCTCCTATTTCTCACCAACAGGCTTATGAACCACACGTTTGTATACATCCAAAGCTTCTCAGCGAAGGCCAGAGCTCCTGCTTGAGTCACTGACAGAGCTCGGTACCCATACTAGAAATCAGCACGATCAACGTGGAGTTTTTGGAATAGCAGAGGAGGAACTGGAGTTTATTGAAATGCTCAGATCAGTGCAGCTATTCTACCGCAAGTAGCTTACTAACATCACTCAGCTCACCTTTCAGTGTACAATGACTACAAATACATTAGCTCCAGTCAGCAAAGTCGCAGATGGGGGAAAATAGAAAAAAAATTAAGGGTGCCCAGACTGAGCCTTAGTGACAGTTACATTCTGTCACTTGTAGAATCATGCTCATGCATGAAATGCATACCATTTCACATAAAAAGCCAGGATTTGTCTCAAAGTTTGCCCCAATCTCCTCTGAACGACTAAATCAAAGACAAAAATTGAGGCCATTGAGTTTTATTTCCAGCTTTTGCCGTGACAGCACAGATTCACAGATCTAGAGTCTAATTTATTTTTAAAGGCTTGAGAAACAAAGCCCTGTGCTAAGAGTAAGGAACAAAGGGTACTCTTTAGTGCCTCACTCCTCAGGCCTGTCATTAAGGGGAAGATTAAACTTTCCCAAGACTGCTGTATCACGTGTCACCTACTGCAGCAGATGTGGCTGACAGCGCCTTTGTCTAACATGTTGAAAGTCCTATGACCCAAGTCCCACCCCTGGGGATGATTCCCGCAGAAACTCTTCAAATCCTCAGCTCTGTGCAAGACAGGCTTTGTTCAAGATTTTAAGTGTTACTTAAAAACAAAACTCTTACATGCATGAAGGTCGTGCCCACCTGAGGCAGCTCCCCTTGCACCAGTACTGGAACTAGAAAGCTCAGAGAGGAGAAGACAGTGAGAGCTCACAGGAGCCTCCCTAAGCCATGAAGCAGCACAAGCATTTGTGCAGAACCCAAGCTAGCAAGTGGAACTAGCAACCGTGGCTGTGCTATTTTCATTCCCAAGTCCTTACATCTGTACAGCACCTCAAAACTGGGACTTGCAGACTCAAGTCTCTGCTAGTTCAGAGTTTTGCACACGGTTACCCTGCATCCTATAGATATGCCCCACAAAAATTTAAGGGCTAGGACAAAAAACAAATAAATCATAGTATTAAAGGAAACAATGGAAACAGAAACATCACAAAAAAGAGATTTTGTAAATGCTTTCTGTGGTTTGTTTCTCTGCATTTTGTTATGTTGGACCATTGGCCCAGATGGCCAGCTCTTGTCAACTGACCTATTCACACTTAAGTGAAAACCCAGAACGAATGTAAATAGTTGATGGAAAAGCTGCCCCACCTTTCATATCTGAGGAAGACATTATTTAAATCATCATTCACATGCAGCAGTTCCTCTGTGACTTCTTCATTGGACACTCGTGAGATAAGCTCCACAATTCTCTGCTGCATAGCTCTACAGGTTCGGTTCAGTTCCTAGGAGAAATGCATTGTACACACACACATTCCGATAAGCAGCTAGCAGTGAGTAGATTTAGTCGAGCTCTGTTCACAGCTAAACATATCCCCCAGCTGAGAAACACTAAGACAAGTCTATCTTTGCATGATTAAATGTCACCCAAAAGCACATCTAATCAAACATGCCCTTCAAGAGACGATGGCATAAAACCTTGAGAGCCTATTTACAATTCAACATCCTGATTCTTCTTTAACTCTGAGCACTTCAGAAAATAAATATCTCTATTTTAGTGATTTGTTTTAAGAATAAAACATATTAATACAACAGCTTTCCAGAAAAGAACTTTCAAGGAAAATTCAGCTGCTCTTTTTGGCAGTATCATTCTTAAAACCTAAAAGATGCACATAGTAGAACAAGTGTCGGAAAAAAGTTCATCAGGGCTACCGCAAGTAGCTAAGTGTGTGCTAGGAAGAGAAGGGTTGGAGGACACAGAAGTTACCAACTACTGAGAACATGAGGGAGAACACAAAACAAGGAGCAGGAGCATAAAAAGATGAACACTCCACACACACTTCAGTGCTGAACTATATACAGAGACGTTCCCTTCAACTGAGCAAGTCCACAGACAAGAGACAGCAAAAAGGCACTGGGGAGTTTCAGAAGAAAATTTTAAAGAATACAGAGTAAGGGCATTTATTTTAGAAGTCTCTCATGCCAAGAAATCTAGATTTGAGTTTGCCTAAACCAGGCGTTCTAGTGCTTCGAGGACATCTCTTCCATCACCAATTACTTAGCAGAATTCTTTACTCCTGAAAGGCCTCAAGAGCAAAGGTCAAAACCGGTACGTTGAGGAGGAACTACAAGAAGAAACGTGACATATGGCATGGCGCCGCTGATTAGGCCCACGGTTTTACTTCAATAAGCACTGACATTTCAACTAAAGCATGTCCCTCTGTCATCTTCCACCCCCCCAGCTCCACTTCACAGCAAAAATTCAGCACTAAACAAGGATGACTTGTTGGTACACAACCTTCAGGATGAAAGCAAAAATGTGTTTGTTTTCCTTGCTTGGTCTGACATCCTAAGCTCTGGATAAATTTCACCTAGTGCAATCCAGCTGCCTTAACAGCTTGAGGAACGTGTTCTCCAATGTCAGTTTTGATCCCATCACTTTAGAAGCAGATTGTGACATTTCAGAGGTTTGTTTGCTGCCTTTCCGAGAGGGCTGACAGTACCTATCTATTCTGCTCAGAGCTGGCTCTCTAGCAAGCTGTTTACATTTGATTGTTGGAGAAAATGTCAGGAATTATTTAAGGAGGAGGGCTATATAAACCTCAAAGCAAGGAGTCCTTGCATGCAGCACCCTGCTCGCAGCTTTCAAAAGACTAACCATCCTTTGTGATCAAAACCAGGTTCTCCTCAGCTCTGTGATTCAGATTTAGGATGCAGCAGTCAAAGAAGGGAACCAGTTGGAATAAAGAATCGTTGCTGTCTCTCCATTTTATGATCAAGTTCTTTTCACCTTAAAGCTATGCTGTAAGGTTACACTGTCAAGATGTTAGTAGTTGTTTCTGAATGTAAGCAAACTGTTCTACGCTGGTTTGGTCTGTCTTGGTTTCCTGGAAGCTTCTTTTGTTCTGAGCAGTCCGACCCAGACGGGCAGTAACTGAAAGGCTCTTTATTGCAAAGCCTCTCATCAGCTGCCATGATGGCTCTGAGACAAACATACAATATCGCTGCATGGGAGAGACCAGTTTTTGGATGGATTTCAAACTCTGATGTATCACAGAGAGCAATTCCCTGCCTTCCTCCAAATGTACTGCTGTGGGAGCCCATCCTTCCTGCTGGAAGATCACAACAGAAGCCTATTTCTGAAGCTCTAAAAAGGCAAATACCATGTTAAGGGCAGCAGCTGGAATGCTAGATCACAGTATTCTTCATCCGTGCTGCGTGTGGTACTGTATTACTTTCCTCAGGCAAAAGGGCACCCTGCTACCACTGGCCTGGGGAAACAGGTATGAAGCCTGAGACATGAGCTCAGCTAAAACTGTTTTCCCTTTTGAGATAATAAACGCTGCACTGGATTGAGACTTTCCAGCAAAGAAAGCCCTTCTGATTACCCAGTCTAACCCTCCGGACAGCATGAAACTTCGCCTGAGTACCTGCCTTAAGCCTCTACATTCAGGAGAAGCTATAGCACATCTTCTGGAAAGAGAGTTAGTTCATATATAGGATTCTGAGTGGCAGAGAATCCACAGACCCTTGGCAATATTTAGCCCAGCTGGACAGATGGAGTGATTTTTTCTTGCGTAGCGACCAGGAATGTTTTGCCACTGTATGAGTGATGACAGAGGATGCAAAAGGAGCAGAAATGCTCAGGGCTTACAGAGCCTATCACAATTTTAAGCTGCTTTGTGGTAAAAGACACCTTATATTCAGCATTGGGAAAAATGTCTAGTTACATGGAGAAGAAAGCACCGGGATAAGTTTCAAGGGAACTTAGGAAATCCTTGTCACTGGAAGCTTTAACAAATGAAGAACATCAAGTGATGAGACTAAAAGGGGTCAAGCACAGCCCACATTAATTTTGTAAAACAAGCAAACCGAGGCAGAGAACTACAACAAAACCCAGCCTATCAGAGAAACTCAGAGACAGAAAGGATTAGAATTGTACTTGCTAGGAAACTGTTACCTGGAGTAACTCAAGGTCTGAGGAATCCTCTTGTCCAGGTACCATTTCTGTCAGCATTTCAGACATCACTTTTGTATTCCCACGAACAATATCCAATTCACTGCGCAGCCGGGCAATCTAAATTGGGGTAAAAAGGCAGGAAAATACTGCATAATCTGTTGGTTTAAGCAGATCATTTTCAAGAACTGACTTTGTGATACCTCTGTTTCTGTCTGACTTGATATCTGAGGCTCCAGACATTCTAGCAGGGAAAAAAACGTAAACGTAAAAAGCTTATCCAGGAGAGAATTTTAGAAAAGCAACAGAAAGAGAAAATAACTTTGTAGAACCGCTCGCTATTGTCACAATCCTAAATGTGCTATGCTAATATGGAAGGGAAGCAATTGAAAACAGCAGCTAAAACTGGACCTTGGTTGCAGTACACCTTGCATGCCTCACTCAAGTGTGGGGAAAGATGTACAAATTTTGGGCAGGATCTTTGGCTCTGAAGTTACTCTTTTTGCAGAGAGAAAAGAAGATCCTATATTAGGGCATTTGCAAGGGTCTTACAGATGCAGACTTAACTCCCTGTTAGCAAGACTTCCTGTACCTGCAAGACATTCTGTGCCTTTAAAGGAGGGGGCTAATGAGAATAACTGCTAAACTACTGCACAACCACTGAGTGGACTGGTATATCACATCGTGAGGTTTCCTAACTACTGCCATTAGGAGGCCATACATACAAATTGAAAGCCTAGATTTTACAGTATAATAGGAGGAAAGATTACTAAGTAGAACCAAACCTAGGAGGCAATCAAAGTCAAAAGAGTTAAAATGAAAGTTCCTCTGCGAATTGGTTTCTCATTTGATCTGCTGAAAGCATCTCACTCAAAAGAATCACCATCCCAGTACCTGTTCAGAATTAGCGGTGATGGGACCAGTCACATTCAGAGCTGGGGCCTGAGGAGCAGAATACGCCGTTGGAGAAGATGAAGAATAAGAACTGGTGCTCATCCTTTGCTGAGACTGTGAATTGTGCATATTTGCTGCAGGATCAACTTCAGGAACACTCTGCCACATCAGAAAGACAGGAGTTCAAAAGCTGAATTGTGACAGCACTTGCTTTGTCAGCAACCTCAGGCCAAATACGCTCAAATATAGAACATAATTGCACCTTGTGGAAAAGGTCAGTGTAGTTATGAGAACAGACTGGCAGACCAGCCCACAGACAGACAGCTGCAACAAAAATGCATGCCCCTATCTTTTGACCCAACCCACAAGCATTTAGGCCAATTTACCTTTACAAGAAAGGTGAGAAGCAAAAAAAACCCCAAGAGCCAAAGATAAAAAAATATAAATTATTTTAAACAAGGAATTAAGTTGCAGGTTTACAAAAAAATGATGTGATACACATATATTGGATTTAATTAATCTTGACACAAGAATTGTAATCTTTTAGTCCTTGATCACTTGCATTTACCACTTCAAAGATTCATTAACTTAATTTTTCAGAGTGAATAATCAGAACATTTGTGATCATTAAGTTACTTCCTAGCAGCAGTTCTGTCAACTTTACAGATCTAACTTTTCAAAGGTATAAAGAACTCATATTACCATGAAATCAGTGAGAGATTCAGACCCTGTACACCTTTAAAAAACAGGCAGACCTTGGTTCAGGGTTATCACCAAAAGAAATAACCATACTTTTGAGAAAAAGAAGTAAATTTCAATCATATATCCTGCTGGACTCTCTCTGAACAAATTAGTTGCATTTGTCTGGTGGCTTTGTGGTACAAGACAAGTGTACAAAACTCCTCCAAACTCTTTTTTCTTCTCAGATTGATGTTTGACTCAAAGGAGAAGACTCCATTAGCTTATCAGCATGTCAAACATAGCTGCATTATGCTTCTCCTACATGCCCTTTCACTATCGAAAAAGTCCTTCCAGGAGTGAGAAAATGAGCCAAATTCAGAGAAATGGGAGAGGAATGAAGAGTACTTACCCCACTATTTAGACATCTCGAGAAAAAAAACCCTGGAATTGCAATGCTGCAGCTTACCCTCTGTGGTGTGTGGATTGGAGACAGAGCATCAAGATCTGCCATGGGAAACTCTATGCCTTTCCTCTTTAGTTCTTCATAAATATGCACTACTCCAGTTAAATCAGGGCTACTTCGAAAGGCATCGGCCCAAGCCTAGAAAACATGAGGGATTACCTATAAACCTTCCAAACAAAGTTCCAGCTCTACCCTGACCTGAGATACTGACTACCAATGTTCTCATGTATTTCAACTTTAAAGAGAAGTTGTAATCATTAGACCTGGTCTAAAAGATCCTGCAAATATTATTAAGACAATCACGTACACATTTTATTCAAATATAGACAAGAACTCAGTACCCAGTAGCTATGTCTAGCCCCTGACATCATCAAAATCTGTCAATGCAAATGAAAGCCTCTTCCAATCTCCTCTACTTAGTACTGATTGCATGCTGATCTTTTCTTGCATATTCTATAGCCAATGACCCACCAAAAAAAGTCTGTGTGAAAGATTAAATTGATCTAAGCAAAATTCATAAAATCATACAATAATCTTAGGTAACCTCAATTACGTTGTGAAACACCCTCATTTATTGTCAAAGAAAAAACACAGCTGTCAAGTTTTCTTTGGTATTTTACTTGGAACAAACTTAAACAAAACAGGTAGTTTCTGAGGTTCTTATGTTGTGAAACATGCAGTCCCAAGAGCAGCAGAACTAATGAAGCCTGGGTTCTTACAGAGCATACCCAGCACTTAGACACCCCAGAGTGTCAGAGAGAACAAGTTTAAAGGGAGAATTTCCCAGAGCCAGAACACTCATCATGTCTCTCCCGCATGAATTCTCTCATGTCTAAAAAGACTTCAACTCACATTTGAGCTTTGCCTTCAGTGGGAGTACTAAGTGTTTCTCCTCACTAGCCAGCCTCCTGTACTCATGAAGCTGCTAGGAGCATAATATCTAGAAAGCCTCTACCCCCTTTCACTTTTGCTGGAAATTAGCCAAGTATTAAAAATTTAGGGGAAGGGAAAATTTAATTATTATGACTCAGAAACGAAGCATTCCCCAAACCCCCACATATGTGAGGCAGAGTATCAGTGTGCTGGATCCAGAACTACTGCGAGACATGTGTGTGGGCTCTGAACCTAATTCATTTAGTCATCACTTTTACACTAATTCTTTGACTATTTTTATTTCAAAAGCTGTTTTTAACCACTTTTTATATTTGAGAGGAGAGAAATCAAAGAGAACAAAACAAGATAAGAAATCATATTAATATTTAACTTACATTCCTATTCTGTTCAATTCTAAGAAAGAGCATTTCCTGCCCTACGTGCTCAGGAGACAATCTATTATCAGTCGCAAGCTAACAATTCTGTGTTTGCTTCTCAGCTTTGTTAAGAGTAAATTAACGGCATCAACTGTTCTGATGCAGTGAAAGTCCAAACAGCCCTATTTGAGCCAGAGAAAACAGCTCCAACTGCAAAGAGCCACTCTGTTTCCTTGGAACTGACCTTCCGCACCATCCCTGATTCTGACGGAGGTATTGACTGTACAGGTAACTCTACCCTTGCGCTTTCTCTGCATTTTCAATTTACATAAGAAGTCACCTGAACGAGGCTTCTACATAATGGTGTTCCCCACTTCAACTCTATTTGCAAGTAAAAGTGAAAAATGTTAGGCAAGGGATGCTCTATTTAATAATCACTCAGAAAGAAACTTGGAGGCAAAAGTATGCTGCGTTGCTGCCCCCAACTTTTAATGAGGCTTGTTTGCCCAGGAGGATGTACTAATGCATCCTCTCTTTCGCTGGCTTCCTACAGATTTTGTTGTAGTGAACTCACTTCATTTGCACTCTACCTTTTTAATATATTCTCTCCTCTGCAACTCTCTTCCCTGGAGAAAGGAGACACTTTCATCAGTATTCTTCTTTGCCTGAGCTGGGAGCATTATCTACATTAGTGTGCCTCTCAGAGGTCACAAGCAGGACCTGGGCACTATTGTCCTAAGTGCTGTCTACACACATTGTAAGACAATCCCTGTCCTAGACAGCTTACAATTCAACTAGGCAACAGTAATATTAGCTCTGCTTTACGGATAAGGAGCTACACACAGAGCTTAGACCTGCCGATTGTCCAAACAAGTGCATCACAGAGGTGTGACTGAAGTCAGACCTTCTAAGACTTTGGGCCAGACTATCAAAGGTAGGTACTTAAGGATGCTGCTGTATAAATCCCACTTGGCACCTCAGTGTGCGCAAACAGGCTAATTAAATACCATTGCAAATCTGGCCCCTAAATCAGTGACCATCACAAGACAATTTTTCCAGCGTTGGACACTTTTTAACACATGTACCCTCAAAAGAATTTACCATGCCACTAGAAGTTTCCCTATGCTTCATCTTTGATGACAGTGCTCAGCTACAAGGAATATTTCCAAGGCCTTTCAGCAAGGTGAAGAAGGAAGGATAAGCAGTACGTAATACATGCTAATTCATGTACACTGGGAAATAGGTTGAGAAAGTGAGACACAAGATGCCCAACATCTCAGAACAGTCAAGTCTCGAGATAAGAAATTGGACAGCAGCTTCATCTACCCTTGCTATGGAAAGGCCGAGGAGTACAAGAGCTGTATGGTTGAAGACATACGCTGTTTGTACAGCTTTTTTCCATGCTTTCAAGTGCTATTAATCCTCTCATTTCTGTTCTTATTAATTCCCTGATATCAAATTTTAAAAAGCCTACAGAGGGGGATAAACGTAATGTTAGCAGAGCAGAGCTGAGAAAAGATCAGCCCCCCTGGAGTTAACTCCAACTGCAGGGAGCTCTAAAGAGCAAAGTCTAAGCTGAGCAAAGTGGTCACGATGTATGGAATATTTTGGGGGGGTGTGTCCATAGGGCAGCTGAGATGAGTGACTGCAATCACTTTTCCAAACTTGTCAGGCAATCTGGAAAACAAAGTCCCCTACCACCTCCAGCTAAAGAGACGCTAACAGAACCCACCCACAGGCAACTTTCATAATTCTCAGGCTTTTTATACCAGAAGGCATTTAGTACCCAGAGTGAGGCTTTTAGCTCTCTGCACTAAGTCTACTCAGATAAAGCTCTGTTTAATACACTCAGGCAGTGACTGTGGCTTTTTGGTTATGTTACAAACACTTCTGTCTTAATTGCACTGATGACTGGGAATCCACTTAAATCCAGGACCCAACATCCTCTAAAACACTGCAGCAGAGCAAACAGCATGGAAACATGCACAGTTTTCTTTATGGAGCAGTATTTAACCTCATCTCCTTGTCACCGCATGCATCAGCTCTCTCACCAAAGCAGGCAGACACCCAAGGGCTCAGTCAGGTGCACAAGAAATGCTTTTAATAATTTCATTCCTTTTGTGCTATTTTTTTTTACAAAGCCTTGAGATCAGAGACCAGAAATAAAGGAACCACACAGACCCCAATGCAATGCCCACCTAATTTCCCACACCCAGCCTATTTCCTGTTCGGAAATCACTTATTTACATTGTCATGCTCTAACAACGTCCTATCTGTGTATCCAAATAACAAATAAACCAGCAGAAATTCAACTGCATGCTTTGCCACAAAATCAGAAGTATATCTGGAAAACTATGCTGCGCATTTGTAAATACCTACCCACAAGAAACACTGCAGCAGGTTTATATCATTTTAAATACGCAGTGTCTTTTAGTCTCTGGTGTATGCAATAGCCTGTAGGAGCTCAGTGATAAAGCTTCCTATAACTGTCAAATTTCCTCTAGGCAGGCACCAATGTTTCCTCATGTGTTGCTAATGGTTTGTGGAATTAACCTGGCTGTTTATTGTTATGCTGCACAGAAGGAGAAATGGCAGACAGGCCTACATCTGAACTTCCCCACTGCAGGCAAGGATCTGACAGTTCACTTTTACTACACAATAACCAGAGAAAAGACACCAAAAAACATTTTAACTCCTATATGGTCATTTACTTCTCTATAACCATCTTTAAAAGGAATTCAGAATGCTTTCTAATGGAGGGAAACAGCTTCATTTTACGGTCAGGGAAACAGACCCAGAAAGGTAAGCGTTCTGCAACTGACAGCAAAAGCACGGTCCTCTAAAATTTCCTTGCCTCAGATGACAAGCCCATCACAGAAGCAGGTCTCCAGCTTCTAGATTTGACTGTTAAATTGCAAAGCCATCCATTTATCTTTTATTAAGTCCTTTTGTTTTAGAGTGGTATATCTCCAACTAGAATCCAGACATTTCTGCCTGGATAAAATATCTATGCGTGTGCATGTCTGCTCTTCCCTGCCAGTCTGGATATATTGTTTGTTTTTACATATAAAAAACTTGCCACATTTTTAATGATGACAGCATGTTTAGTGATGTGTAGCACTGAAGCAGACAGTCCTTATTTCAGGCAGCAACATATGGAAGCAGAGACAAGCTGTGTACCTGAATCAGTGCTAGTACTTTATCCTGTACAATAGTGGGGGGATTATTCTTGGGCGAGATGATTTTCACCAGAACACCATCTATGAAGTCACGGTTTGCCACTAAGACATGAAAGCGATGGCCACAGTTCTTCACGCAGGTCTCCAACACCTACACACACAAAAAAAACCCCATTCATTGTTGGAGCAAAGCTTGATCACACACATAGCACCTATGTAGTTGGTTTCTGATTATTTTTTTTATTACCATTTTAAAACTTTTGATGGGAGGGAGAAAAGATAGAGGATAAATAATTACACTTATACTCTTAGTTCTTCTTTTCTTCCCTAATTTTACCAAAAAGCATCCTCTCTACACACACATTTAGATGTACCTCACCCACCATTAACACATTGGGCACTTTTGTGATCCTTCTTTGCCTGTTTCCAAGGTAAAGAAATATCAAGTTTCTTCCCCTTCAAAGCAGAACTTTCTGACCTGCACAGCTGAACAGGTAAGCGCATCGCATCACATCATGAGCGGGTAAGACAGAGGACATCCTGTCACAGTGAGATATTATCGTGCTGTGGCACTCCACCATTTTCTATGTACCTGGAACACAGCTGGACCCAGTTGCTCTGAGCTATAAGCTATGTTTTAGAGTTGGGAATTCAGGTGAGTGATCTTCAGTCATTCAAAACACTCCCTTGCGAATGCTCTGACAGGTTATACTTTGACACATTTTCCCCCTGCAACCTAGCTAGAGGCACCTTCCACTTGCCATTCAACTGCCATGGAAGAACAGCTGTTGATTTTTCTCTGAAGAACATGATTAGCATGGAGATAAATCCAATGCGTCACTTCTCCTTACAGCCATGCCTAATAACCACTGCGACTCTCTATCTGAGGAGTCTGTAATTACTCTCCTACTTCAGCTACTTTCATCAGCCCTGATGACACGGACTCATTCCTGATGAATTTCACTCTTTAATGGTTTGGTCTTCGGTAATCTGTCAAAATGACAATCCAGGATAGGAAATGGCAAGAAGACAGAAAGCACAGTCATGCTTCGTCAGGGAGATGCAACAAGAGCTCTGTGAAAGAATCATACAGATCACCTACCTACAGCAGTATAACTCGATCTAGTTACTGCTGCTCATTCCTCAGACCACTGCGGTGCAGAGCCTGCCCAGCACCATGCGTTCAGGAGTGCTGCATTACCCAGGAAACCTCTAGCTAAAGTCATAAGTAGGAAAGGTCACTGGCAAATTATCTCACAACCTAGCAGTGCTGCCTAAATGCAAAGAATATAATTTACACTTTATTGAGTGAAATTAGATCAGCATAAATTAGTGCAAGTCTCCTACAGAGATCCATTCACAAGGGAAATTGTGCATCAGCTACTTAGGAAGCTGAAAATATGGCAAGTTCATCATCCTCACTTGCAGATATGCCCACAGCCGTTGTCTTGGAGTAGAGAGATAGTAGGACACAGGGAGATGACAGTAGAAGGGAAAGCCCCAAAGGGTAACAGACCCATTTGGGCTATTTTAACTTTCCTCAGTCAGTACTTAGGATAAGAGCCCAGAAAAAAGCAGAAATCAATTGAATCAGAAAAACACTATGCAAAGCTTCCAGTAACTCTTCCCAAGGAAGTGAGGTGGCAATTGGAGAGAAGAAAAGGGCAGAGCAGTAGCTGTTAAAGCAAAGAGTGTGTACATTCAAGAGAGTGCCAGGAAAAGGAAAATGACAAAAGAAAAGGGTTCTGCCCTTTTGAGGCATTCCAGCCTGCCCCCACTCACCGTCAGAGCCAGCATGACCTCTCTGTAATTTTTGTTTCCATTCAGCCTCTTCTTCAGTGCTCGAATGGCATCCTTTGGACTGAAGGAGAAACACACCATTTTTAAAACACAGCTTAGATGCTTTTCACATGCCATATACTGTGGGAAAAGGAATCCTTCACCATTTCCAGCTGGACATAAGCATGTATGTTAACTTTAAATAATTTGACTACAACCAAACTAGGGTCATGTAGAATTATGTGAGAAGACAAGATATCGTAGAAGTCAAGGCCAGAGCAATGCCCGAGGCCTCCAAAAAGGCAGGATGTTGATCAAGCAGGAAAGAAAAAGGCCCAGGGCATAAGACCAGTGATCAGTTCTCCTGCAAACCGCAAGCAGCACAGCTTTTCTGGTGCTGAAGGAGTTGTATCAGAGAAGCACTCTATTCAAATGGCTGAAATTAACAGCACTGCAAAGAGATACACCTGCTGAAAACAAGAACCCTCGAAGTACAAACTTGGTACCCTCGCCAACAATTTTTCATGCCAGCCCTCCCAAGCAGAGACTGACCACAGAAAGTGCTGCATCATACAAAAGTTTTCTGAAATGTCTGCATTCAAATCATGAGCATCTGCCCCCAGACTCACTGCACCTCCTCACATGCTGAGTGTGATTGGATGAAGATTGTTTTCGTAAACCTTTCAAAGTTTGCTGAAATAGCACATACCCTTCTTCTGTCTCGTTGATAATGTCACAGATCTCCATGTTAAGTGTCCAGTCTTCACTCTGCAGAGAGCCATCTGTGGCCTTTTCTGTAAAGAAAAGAAAAATAAATCTTTTCAAATCTTCCCAATTAGGTACCACACTTCAATCCATCTTCAGTTACTCTGAGCTGAGACTATCCAGTAAAAGAAAGACAGGAAAAAAAAAAAAAGTCCCCACTGACTGTAAGCAATGTCAAGCCTTCCCTCCTGGTCTTAGGGATCAGCATAGAGGTTTCCAGACAGAATCAATTAATTATCCCTCAAGCTCACTAGTTTCAGCCCACATAGATGGGCTGTTCTTCAGACTTCTGAATTCCTGGGAGAGTAGGAAAATGTCAGCTAATTCCAATTTAAACTTCTCAGATCCTGCATTGTTGGCAAGTTATGAGATAGGAAAATCTCCCCAAAATCAACATGACTTCTTCCCTTTTTAGTATATAATACCTTCACATGAATTGAGGGAGGAAAGATAGCAACTGGGAGACAGAATTCGAGGAGGTCCAGATTTTCAGCATGAAAAGAACCACCAGCACGTGAAAACACCTAGTACGTGACAGTTCAGGTCATGATATCATTCATGGGCAGCCCTTTTTGCCCAGGACTCTTTTACTCCTGTACGGCAGTCCCTCAATATCTGCTCGCCAGGGGGCTGGGCACTGTTTCCCTCTGTCCCACACTATGTCCCCAATCTCCTCTCCATGCTGGGGCTACGTACACATCTCCTAAGCACAATCTGCTTTCCTCCTGACTCCCAAACGCTCCCTCACTATGTGTGTGGCAGGTAAGTCACTCCGGCATCGGATTAAATTCTACAGGAAGGATGACCTATAGCACTGTGACGGTGGCAGATGCCAACTGTTGGCAGCTTAATTTATAGACATCTGCAAGAGTAGCATAACCATAACTTCAAGTAATCAGTTGACAAGAACTATTTGTTCCTTGGGATTTCCTCCTAAATCAATATAGTTCAGTCTAGTGGTGCCTAGAACATCCCCTGAATTTTTCACACTTTCACTTGCATCATTCAAACCCTATCTGCGTTACACTACCTGCGTTCAGAAATGCTATCGAGTTGAATGTAAAGCCTGTCGCCAGAGAGACCTAAAAAGGGGACCTTCGAGCTGAACACAGCCTTGTCCTCTAAATTAGTCAAGGTTTTTCTACAGATCCCTGGCATCCAATGTTGGAAGGCAAACAGGGTAAACAAGTATTTTTAAAATGTAAAATAAAAAAACCCTGCCAAACTTCTAAACATTTTAAAGCAGAAACAAAACTGCAGGTACCACCTTCCCCAACTATCCTTCTCTCTTTGCATCAGACCCCAAGCTGTCCCCCAGAACAAGGCAGATTTTGTTTGAGAATGCCAGGCTCCAAGGACTTTACACATTCCTCTTTCTGTTCACCAACATTTTTCCCATTAACATTTCTATCACTGTGACTGAGGATATAGATGCCCACAGGCCATAATTATGGGACATTATTTGGAGAAAGACTATGTGTCTGGGTAATTCAAGTTTCAGTGACTTGTCTACACCAGAATCGTGGCTAAAGCAGCTCCATCAAGGACAGTAATTGCATAAATCTGAGACAAACCAGACAGCTAAGCAAAATCCAAGCAGAGAGTGTTGAAAAGAAGCCATCTATCTCCAGAATGGAGAGGACACCATGGGAAAGTAGATTATGGAAAAGGAGACCTTTCTTTGCAGGCATCACTTCCCATTCAGAGAAGCAGTGGTGCAAGAAACGGAGGCCGGGAGGCTGCAAAACTCCCAGCTGTGCCATCTTCACCTCTGGGTCTTTTTCAACCATCTCCACCTCATTGAGAGTTCACTTTGGCAACAAAAAAACTTTTCGTTTGACGAGGAGCCTCAGAGACATGTATGGCTTCCAAAATGTCCAATAAATACTGGACAGGTTATTGAGTAATTTTAATTTACTGCATTTAGGCTATGTTAGGCAGGGATTCTCTTAAGGAAGAGTGCAGGCAGAGCTGTTTAATGTTTTCTGGGATACAGGAATTCATCTTTGTGCAAAGCCACTTGGAACAATCACTTTTATTAGTTGCATTTTGTTCTTATACTGTACATAAGGTTTTACTGCTATAGAATCTGATCTGCCTTCACCTCCACATAGTCCTTGCTGCTTAGGAAAACATTTTATTTAACATTAGGAGGAAAAAAAACGCTTAATATTGAGAGATATATATATATCAAAAAAATCACTACATCTGCTCTGCTGGAAAAGGTGATCCCCAAAGCTGCAAAGGATTTATAAGCACAATGCTGCAAAATGAGAGATTATGCCTTAAATAGACGGTATTCCTTAAACTGGGCATATGATTTGTTTTCTTAATCGAAAACTATATTAACAAATTTGTGTGTTCTTGACAGCATTTGGCACCAGGCAGCGACTCAGCAATGTTCATACTCTCTGGTCTGCTATAATAACTTTTTATAAATTATTGTGGAAAACGCTGATCGTGCACAAAGTTGTGCTAGCAGCCAATTCATTCATTGGTCTTGTAAAACCCATTTAGTTAAGGTTTGTTTGGACCAATTGTGTATATGGCAGTACTCCACTGCTAAAAACTGTGGTATTTTTGAGATGGTAGAGTGAAGAGATGCTGCTGCAGCACTGCATGGAGGGTAGCACAGGAAGGTATTTCCCTTCTGAGATACACTAGGGAAAATGAAATCCCCTTTCTCCCAGAAAGTTTGGTTACCACCTTTTATTTTTGCATTTCTGTTCTTTAGTTGGAGTAATACGTGGTTGAGACTGTGTGGGTTTAAGACGTAACAGTTGTCTTTTTGAGAATTAGTTCTTTTCCCCTTGGGTAATTTTTAATTCGAATAAGAGTTGGAAGCTAATTTTAGTCTCTTGTTCAGCTACAGAGAGCACACAGGCACTTGTCATCTGTAGTCGTTTGTCCTTTGTAGGGTGTGTGACCCAGATTTGCTGCTGCAGTGCTCTCTCAACTGTTAGAACAGAGTTAACTGACTGCGGAGAAGGCATACGAGTTTGTGTGTGATTTGTTTGAAGAACAGTATTACGCTGCAATGAACTGAAAGCCTGTAGAGCTTTTCCAGAACCAAAACGCAGCAGGTCATCAGTTCTGGATTTCTGGTGAAACAGCTCTGCCTGTATTCTTCCTTAAGAGATTTCCTGGCCAACATATCCAAAATGCATTAAATTAAAAATACTCAATAACCTGCCCAGTATTTATCGGACATTTTGTAAGCCGTGCATCCCTCTGAGGCTCCTCCTCAAACAGCAAATAGATACGACCGACAAGATTAAATGGATTTTGAAAACTATCACAGAATTGCGAGGGAATGGCACGCACATCATGCAAATACCCTTTTAAAAAGTCACCAGTTCCTCAATCTCTTTCAAGCTCATTTAAAAGGCATGTAAATGGCACTAATTCACACAAGGACTCTGGAACATCACCAAAGCCTTCTAGGGTGACATAAAAAATGTTAAATCAGAGAAGGAAAAAAAGCAATGAGTACGAGTCCTTCCTGCCCCTCCCCTCACTGAACCAAAGAGTTTATGGTATAGTTTAATTGCATAACCAAAGAGCTGGGAACTCCCAGCCTGGGTGCCAAGGGTGCCTTGCACAGCTTCTGATCCGAGAACAACTCGGAGCGCTGTGTTATTGCTGAGTTTGACACTGCAGTAGGGGCCAGGAGTTAGTGTCTCACACAGAGACATGATAGCACCAGTGAGATTATCAGAAAGTTTCTCCCAGAAACAAGATGCTATCGGTTCCCACTACGTTTCCCAAATTAAAGCATAAATGTTCTGGTAGAAGGAAAGACAATCTGGCACGCCACGCCTGACACACTGCAGACCTTGGACACTGCATATGCACATGCAAACGTGAGCTTATCTCTAGTCTGCAAAGAAAAGGAGAAAAAAAAGTGCTATTTTTTCATTCACACATTCCATCTGAGATCTAACTCATATTATGTGTGGCCATATTTCCACACTCTGCCAAATGGCAGTATCAGTATTTCCTTAGTTACACTGAAATCATATACATTTTATGGCATTCAGAAGGCGCTGTTTAGTAGTGTAAAGTTTTTGGTGTAAACAGTCTCGGTGCACACCAACCCCAGCCAAGCCTATTCCCACGCAACCTGCTCTGACCCGAGAGGTGTCACCACAAGGAAATCAAGTCAGAAATGCCCATGTAAACACCATGTAATAAACAGGCTGTACAGGGCAGGACAGGAATGCTCTTTTAAATGCAGGGGAAAAAAAACAGAAGAACTTTTACCACCCATCTTGAACCCAGCTCAAAAGTCACGTAACAAAGAAATGCTAACACTGGTTGTCCTGGAGAAGCTGCTCTCAGAGCCCTTTTCAGTCCATACTACTTTTGCTTCAAAGTTATAGCTCAATGTTGACACTCTTAAAATTTGACTTTGTTCACATATGGATGAGATAAAGCAGAATTCCTCGGTCTTCCCTACTTCCTCCTTCCAATGTTCGTCTCTGACCATTACACTGAACCTGCCGATGCAGACAGCCTGAAGACTTTCATTAGGATTGCAACTGCACAAGTTGAAGTCTGTATGCTATTTAACACACGTACTATATGCATACTTACACAGCCAAGACTGAAAAACTGACTGCTGGAAGCACTGAGAACATCTACTCGAGCTGGTCAACAACAGCAAGCACAGCCAGGGTAAAAATCTCCCCAAAAGGTCTATCTATAAGCACCAATAAGTGACTGGTGCTGCGTAACGTTCTTGGGAGAAAAGCCAAAAATGAAAGTTAAACATTTCACTGGCTACAAATCACTTTAAATGAAAATGGGAGAACTGTGCTGTCTTCTATCTGAATATCAGAATCTCATGAATGAACAGATCTTTGTGTTCAGAGAAATCACAGTTTTCTCTCTTGGGACTTCTCCAGATGTTGCTTCAGAGACTCTTGATTCATACATTTGGGAAGAACTACGCCTGAAGAATCACCTTCTGCTTATGCAAGAAGCATGCACACCACTGCACCATATTAGAGAGATCCAAAACCAAGAAAGTTCCCATTCCAAATTTTCCCCCTTCCCTCCAACGGCGTTTGGTGTTCAAGCAGCGTAAAACATCTGATTTATTTTTTTTTGCTTGGAAGTTCAGAAGATTGCAGATCTTAGATCTTTGTCTTGCCTCTTAACAGTCCACCTGCCTACCAGCTGTGCTCCAAGACTGAAATTAGCAAATCAAACAGTCAGATGTGTTATATTTCACTCTGCATAATATGTGACAGAGAACAGAAGAAGCCACAGTATTAGCAGGCTTTTACTTCCATCCTAGTGGTCCCCCTCCCTCCAGCTCAGCAGAGCTTTCTCAGGAGCAAGGGCTATCGGCTGAGGTCAAATGCAAAATGCTCCTATAGAACGGACAAAGGTCTTCCAGGAGGGGGGGGAAGAAAAAGTTTTGCAAGGCAATGCAAAACATACAAGATAACTCACAAGGGAAGATAAGCTATTGAATGAGATGATAACATCTCTCATCTGAGCTGTAGCTTATAGAATTGTTTCGCTTTAAAGCATCATTACATTTCGTGACTGCGGTTGTCTCTCTTGGATTCAACAAATCATCAATGACCTGCACGGCACCGTCAATGAGACCTGGGGAAAGACCATACAGAGACCATGGAAACATATTTCAGCTGTCCAAGCAAAATGAAGATAAGGCTAAAGACCTTCAGCATTCACGTGGCTGCTGAGTTCAAGACATCTCACTTGGAAGACAGAGCTACAGATAGAATAACACAGTTGGATACTCCTGGACCTAACAGTCTATTCTTGCTTTGTCTGTATTTGTGTTTAGAAAGACAGTCACGGACACTTAGACATCATAGTAACCAACAGGAGGTTTTTTCTTTTTTATCAAAACGCTGCTATTAAAAAATAAATGTGACTCATTCAAAATTCAAGATCAGAAAACTCAACTCTGAAGTGACTTACTCATAAAAACCTGCCAGTTTCTTTGTTAGAAAGCGCAGCTCCAACTGCATTTTTCAATTAGCCACCTCACTGCTCCAAGTCCTTTTTCTACATTCCTTATTTCACACTGCTCTGAAAATGCTGAGCTTCACACTTCCAAAGAAAAAGCCAGTCAGCTAGAACAAACAGGCTCAATCTGAACTGCAAGGTATTACAGAGAAACATGATTTGGGTTGTACTGCTGCAGCACTGGTCATCCACTTGGACCGTTGTGATTTTTTCAATTGATTTTAGCTATGCTTGCATCAAAACTCTTCGGGATGAAGTCATCTGTTCTCCACTCACTGTTCTGCCAAAGTTTCTGGGGCTGAATAAATGAATAATCATAGTTTATAATGACTGCGGAGTCTACATTAAAATAAAATAACAAGAGAAGCTGTGGACATGCATACATGCAATCATAATGAGTATTTAGCTCGGATGCTGTTTGAAGGCACACCGGGAGACTGGGAACTATCATTTTCTCCAAGTAACTTTCAGGTTTTCTTCTTTTTGAAGCTGCTGCCCAAATGCCAAACTTCTTCAGACCTTCCTTCCAGATCACACTTACCTGCAATCATGAATAAGTAATATGGAATTACTGTGCCTTTTCAAAGAGTATTCAGTTATGCTACCACATTCCTGTGATTTAGATACACTACAGAAAAGACACTGCCCAACATCTACTACAAATTCAGCCTCTCAGGAGCAGGAAGCTAGAGCTGATTAACTGAATGTATCTGCGCAGCAGCTTCAGAAGCAGAGCAAGGTGAATGGATTAATACATATTAAACAAATATTAACAGCTGTAGAAGATTTTCCTTTCACACTCAGATCAGAGCTTCACCTGAACAAGAAGAAAAACAAAACAGAAATCCTAATAATAATATCAGAGTAGGCAAGAGAGTATATCAGCCTGACTCGCTTAGTTTATCACATCTCATAGGTCTTGATGCATTTGCAGGTTATAAAACCAGACGGACCTTCCAGTGCTACGCTGTTGTACAGAAATGGCCTGACAGGGTAACCTAGTCCAGGCAGTTTCTGTACTCAGATGTCGCTCATCTCAGGCACAAATGATGGTTTAGTCACAGTTCTTAAAAGCATTTGGAATCTGGATCCCAAGCAGAACGGTGTGTTTCTATACAATAAAGACTTTTGTTACGAATCTTCTCACTGAAGTTCCCCCATCAGCAGAAATTGTTGCTGCTGACAGCATGCTCCGCTGACTGACACGCGTACGTAAGTTGCTCTCTTTCAAAACAGATGGAGAAAGAAACTACTGCTGCTTTAAAATAAAGTGAAATTTCTCTGACTTCTTCATTCTACACAGCTTTAAAAACAAAACACAAAAACCCACCTTCCTCCTCTGTACTGTACACTCATTAAAGCTAACATGTTGACCCATGTACTGTAAATAGCTGTCCTTCAGAGCTAGGCCATACGGCAGCAGCTCCCAGCTCATCAAGCCGTTTGCATGGTTCGGAGGCACTTTTCCCTAAAACTCAGCTTGCACCGCACGTTTCTTCACCTCTTTCAGCAGTGACCTTGGCCAGATTCCCCCCATCACACTGCAAACCCACAACAGTCAAACTGTGGTGCTACTTTACGATTGACAAACAAGGACCTGCTCACGTCAGAAATCAATACCCTAAAGCCTTCAATCAGAAACGTCAAAGCAGTTTTAAAATATACGTCCTGTATTAATGGATTTTAATGGATTCGAATGGAGATGTTTACTGTGTGATTTACTGTAGGGGAGCAACAAATCAATGTTCCTTTATGACATGTCACATCTCATGACAGACTGTCCCCTTGTATTGTTGTATCAGTGGAGATGATGGCTCGCCACTTCGCAAACATCTGTGATCTATTAGGCCCCACTTCCAGTAGTCTAATATTATCACACTCTGAGTGTCCATCTTTCTTCTCGAGACGAGAGGCACGAAAGCATAAATTAAAACCTTCTGGGTGACAAAACGTTCTCCCTTGGATTTGCCATTTCTGAATTTGACTGCGACTGCTATGACTTGTCCGTATGACTCTGTATGGGAGAATTTATCAGCACAGCGTTGTTTGAACAGGTCAATGCACTGGGATGGTTCCCCAAATCTCCCCCTCTTTTGACCACAGTAAGGCAGCTGGTGCTGTACACCAAATTGCACTGACATTTAGTCATTTCCATAGGCAGAACTTGTATCGTAGCCTACTACTTGCCAAAGGGGTTTTATAGTGTTTTAATTTCTCCAAGGAATTTGGATGATTGAGGAGGGGGCTACCTTGTTCCTTAATTGGGGCTACCAGTTCCTTAAATGAGAATCTCGGGTATTAAAACACTGACACACTGGATAAATAACACCTATTAACCAACACTAGAAATACAAAATTTTTTAATAGCCGAGTCTTTGGCTCTCCCCCATCAGAAAAAATAAAATAAATAAAATAAATAAAATTAAAAAAAAGGCAAAAGAAACTAGCCAAAGAACCTGAAAAAATAGCCTTCTTCCAAACACCCCTTAGGAGCTGAGAAGCTTTTCTCACCAGAAAGACAACTTACTGCAGACAACCCCAATATTCAAAAAAAGCTCTTAAACAACTAATACATATACATGAATTTGTCCTAATGCCAAAAAACAACTACTAAAACAAAATGCAGACTCCATTCATTTTATCAGCCGTAACTTACAAATCTGAGAGAAGGGGCAGCTGAAAGTAGCAATTTATTTCTCAACTTGTTTGTTTAGGAAGTATGCTTAAAGGCTCTATTACAGTGTGTTTGTTATTTATAAGAACATCAGCACTGCAGTTCCTTAAACAAACTGTTGCAAACTGCTTTTTAAAACATTCTCACAAAAACCGCAGAAAAACAATACCACAGACACAACGCAGAAGAATGCGCTTGACCAGGAAGATACTACCAGGAGGTAAGGGAGAGAAAGAGGAATATTCTACGCATCCGGATGCAGTTTTACCACCCAGAACTACAGGCAGCGCGGTATTACAATTTGATGTCCCAGCTGCACAAAATGTTGCAAGCACCATCAAGAGCAAGAAGGTGTCCTTATCTGTGACTAGCTGCCCTGTTCAGGACTCAACGGCATCCAGTAATTACAGGTGAGACTGAAAAAATGTCTTTATGAAAAGTTATGGATGATCAGTGTGTCAGTGAGCTGTATTTGA